TTTTAGTAAATTTTAAATTTTTAATTGTCAGTATAAAGGCACCCAGATAATAAGCATGCATGGTAACTTTTACAAGATTTTTCTCTCTGTGTACATGTTCCTGCGGATTACATTGTACCTTCACAAAATAGCAGATATATTCTAAAAGAAAAAAAAAAAAGAAATAAAAAAACAGGAGCATTATTATGCGAACATTTATCTCGAGTGCAAGAGCTTTTAGAGTGTTCGAAACTGACGAAAGATTAAACAATGCCGTAAAGAATCAAGAACAAAATCGACCGTTGCGTACATTTAGGTCCTTTGTTCCTTGTACCATGTCAAAGAATGGCCCTGATTGCTAAAGCGATTAGACTCTCGAGAGCCCCCGACAATTCGTCGTCGGTCTCGGGGGCCATAGTGCGCTACAGTACTACTACGGAGCGAACAGAAAACTGCTGTGTTGCGCTGCATTAACGGTATACGTATGTACAAAAAGGGAAACTCAATCAGGTGATGACGGAACATGGTAGTTGTTTAAGCGAAAAGAAATAAAAAACGAGATAGAATATCGCGAGCGGATTTTATGAAGAAGTGGCTCTTGTTCTTTGGTCCAAAGAGAGTTAAAAATGCCGCGATACCATCAAAAGATTATCATCCGAGAGATGTCGCCTTATATACTTACATATCACTCAATACAAAACCAGAAAATGTTTAAGAAAACCGTTCTTTTATGTCTTGATAAATTTATACGTATTTACTTTTCATACCTCTTGATATAATGAATAATTATTAACAACAAATAATTTGTATCCTAATAATTAGTTAAATAATTTAGTGTGAATTAACTAAAAGAAAAAAAATAAACGTTGCACACAAAACCAAATCTGTTTCGCAGTGATAGATATAGATACAGGTCCTTCTGTATTACAATATAATAAAGTTTGACTCACAATATTCGAAAATAGATACTTTGTTTCATAAAAATCACTTGTCATTCAAGGATTAAAAAATGATGGGCAGAGTAGTTACGTATTTAGAGAAAACAAAATGGTGTGACGAAATCTAAAATTTGCATGATATAAGAAGAAAGTGAAATAATCTCTAAGGTAATGAGAGATACAAATGTAAATTGTATTGAGGAAATAATATTCTATTTAATGGGCAGTTTGGCTTTATGAAGGATACGGGTATTATAGTAACTTTTCTGGATTTGGCCAAGGCCTTCGATACTGTGAGTATAGAAGAACGAGTAAAGGTATCCCGCAGGGTACTATACTTGAACCATTGCTTTTTATTGTACGTTAACAATATACTCAGATAAGTGCTATATAAAAATGTACTGTCATATACGAATGAGATTAAGAACAAGCCGCTTAGTGTTAGACAACTCTTCACTCTAGAGGTTATCTGTTATCATTATGATGTACTTAAGCAAAAATTCATCAACTCATCCAGTACAACTATGAGTAAGAAGATTTAAATACCCAAAGTAAAAAAGCTATAAGCAGTAAAGATAGAAATTATGAAACAGTAGTAAGCTATAACAGTATGCCCAGTAATCTAAAAGAATTAAGTGAAAACGATGAGAAAATTAAGAGTATCTAGAGTATGTAAAAGTAACCAAACATATAATGAAAAACGATCAAAGTCAGTACCCTTTTAGATAATAACTGTTATACATATTATACCGTGCAAGCAGCAATATTAAGGAATAAGAATCAACCCCTGAGCTATGAATTAACAGTACGTGGCCCGTTCGTTTGATTGATGTCATTTTAATAACCGGCCACTTGTGATGATAGACGCATGACCTGTCAACGGGTAACAACGAATAGGCGGACGGACGCCTGTTCAAACGTCTATAAGAGGTAAGTATATGTATGCATTTGGATGTATACACCGGCGATTACGTTGGGCGTCTAGTGATTATGTGGGGCCACGTGGTCCGCACCCGACCTGTTTGGCTACAGCTTAACGAGGCGCCGCGACGCAAACTGTCGTACTGCCTTTGCATTATGCCGACACGCCTTGGGTACACATTAGTGTATATGCTTTGTTTTTCTAATAATAACCGCGTCAACTTTACTTGAATATTTCTTCTTATTAAGTATTATAGCTACGATGAAAAAAAGAAAGAACAAAATTGAAGCATGTACGTATTTGATTACGTTACGGACCTTGATATCATGTAAATTAACTTCGGTTTAATCGGTGATTTATTGAAACTGCATATGGAGTGCTGATAGTTTCGATAAATTACTGTTCAAGTGCTTATTGAACTACCGCGCCCGAGTTTCTGTATCTTATCAAATATATTATTTAGTGAAAAAGTTCCGAAAACGTATTTAAAATTTCTTTATTCATTGCATTCAAACAAATTATGTAAAATCAAATAAGTATTGCATCGGCCAAAAATCGAACCTGCCACACGCCCCCTTTCGGTTCTACAAAAGTCACGATCCGCAAATGTATTAAAAATAATTACTTGTATATTTTTACAGAAAAGTCTTGATGATATTTGAACTTTTTAACATTAACATAAGGGTTTCGTTTTTTCTTTTTGAAGTACGGAACCATAAATATAATAATTATTTTTTATGTAATTGGAAGTACCCAGTAAATGTAGTTGAAGCAGATTATCAAAGAATTAATGGTTTTGCTATTAGCCTTATTGAAACTTCACAATTCTCCAGTATCTATTATAATTTGATAGTTAGGCAATCAATATTCAAGTTTGAATTTCTAAATTTTTCCGTTTTTCTTTAATTTATAACAACAAATGCCTTTATTGCCATACATACATAAATTTAAGTTAATTAATACTAACAGCTTTTCAAATCTCAAATTCAATTAATAAACAAATCAAATGAAACAATACACCTCACAAATTCTTTCATTTTTAATTATGATATCAATACCTTAGTATTTTTTTATGTTTTTTTATTAATTTTTTTATTTAAAAACTTCTTACTACCTACCTATTATTATTCAAAGCCATCAAACACTTCCACTCTTTCAAATGTATACGCATATTGAACTATTTTAAAGTGATTCAACTGTACGTTGGGTAAAGTAGCCGCCGATTTAACGAGAATTAAAGAGCATCATTCGAATCTTGTAATTCAATTCTTCTCCAATCAAAATTAATTAGATGCCCTGTTAGTTTCTGTATAATTATATATACATATATACAATACCATCAGAGGCAGAACAACAAAACAGTGCGATTATCTGCCTATCGACGACCAACGAAAACAGCCAATTGCGAGGGCATTGTGCTATTGTTTGCGGGCGTGACGCAACAATGACAACGGCGTCGCCTCCGGAGGCGAAGCGCGTAATTGCGGGCTTTGTAGTGCCGTCACCGACAGCGACACGCCTAATTTCACAATCGTCGTAGCCACGTACATATATATATATATATTCTTCTTGTGCCCCCGCGGCAGACACGCATTCATACACATACACCCCATACTCTATTATCATTGTAATTCGATGATCTGATAGCTACTACTGTATAGTAGTCTCGCCGCCCAGCCCTTGCTCTCTCCTTAAATCGCTACCAAAAATAATTTCTATTACCGCACAATCACATCATGCCGAGTATGATTTGGTATAATAAACGCCCGACGCCTATCAAAAGGTGTCAGCCGCATACTATCAGAAACATAAATGATTCTAAACGCATTAGAAAAGGCTTCTTAAAAAATCTATATTTTTGTTTTAATGAGAGTAAAAAGATATTATTAAAATTTTATAATATGCAAATATGTAAATATATTTAAACGCGTTCATAAGGGAGCGGGGGAGCGATGAGTCATAAATTTATGACACATATTTCATCTGCTTGTCACATTTAGTAACGATTTAAAGCCTCCCTTTTTTTAATTAAGTCTGGATAATCTATTCCCCTCTAGAATGAAGAACATTAAAAACTATTTATTTTATAATTTATATTATAACTGGGGTTTACCAGCGGTTTCGCTCGCTCATTAACCAAATGCGCGTTAAAGATCATAGACGATCACATAAAAGTTTTCCATAAAAATCTTTCTATCCCTCGAGGACAGTAATTTTTCTGGAGAAGAGGCACCCTATGTCCCTCTCTGTACCCCTGACAAGGTGTGTAGAAAATATCATGATGATCGGTTAAGTAGTTAAGGCATTAAATGGTAATAAACAAACAAACTCACATTCGCTTTTATATCAGTTAGGATAAAACCTAAACTAAATTAAATTATTAACATTCATTCTACAGAGTTGCTCATATTACCTATGAATTATTTTTTATTTTAAATGTTACAGCTTAATTAACCAATTGGTTTTTAATTTCTTTCGAATCATTACAACTCAGCGAGGTCGATATTTTTCGTTCGCAAGATATCGAACGCAGGCACTTACACATACCCCATGTACACACACAACTACTTTTTCAAATTGTAATGATATTGTGACCTTCAAATCGCAAAATATTCTGAAAATTACGATTTTGATTTTCGGAGCCATAACTTCCCTATGATTAGAAAATTATAAAAAAAAAGTAAGTTAACTTTGAGCGACCTCTTGTTACAAGTTAATTAATAACTCCACAGTATTTTAATTTTTTTCCATTGTTTCAACTATTAAAAAGGCAAGACAAACTATACGCTTTCAGTAAGGGGAGTTATTACTTTGTGAGAGTTAAGTTTACATATTTACTTTTTTTTTTAATTACATTCGAATTCCATTTATTTGTTCGTTAAGCTAGAAGAATCAATAGAATTGTTTCTTGATATACTGCTTTCATCAGAGTCACTATCAATACCAAAACTTAAATCATTACCAACAAAGTCATCGTTGTCATCATCATTTTCGTGATGAATTTCATAAATACTACTATCAGCTGTAAGTAATAATAACATCAATTTTAATTTTATTTGTCCTTTCTTTTAATAAATGTATAGCAGAAAAATAAGTAACGGAATATTTTTTAATTACGTTTTCTTTCTGTATAGAAGCGAAAAAAAAAATTAAAAACTAACCTTGATGATCATGTTGACGGAAATTTCTGGAATTTCTCGCTATAGACGGAGGAGGTGGAACATTGGAATATGGTCCTCGGTCAGCTCTTGTGAAATGTCCCAACATTCGATGACCAGCAGAATCCAAAGTCACACTGCAATTAAAAAAAAAATACACTTATTATCCCTAAAACATTGAATATCATACCTTTTATTTGAAGGAACCATTCCAATAGTGGGCCTCCAATTTCTACTGTTTGCCGCATCTAAATCTTGCGGTTTAAGAACCCTGGCGGGTGGCTGTGCTCCTTTTAATGCTTTTGCAGGAAATATGAATCCCCTAGGATACTTTGGATCACGGAAATTGACACACATTACACTATTATGCATTATCGTCGTTAAGCCTTTCACTGGAGAATGCAAAACACTGAAAAAAAGCAAATTTTCATTTGTTTGATCAGTAAAAGATTTTTTTATGTACTTATCATTATTGTAATAAATAAATGTCATTATTTTCAGCTTACCCCCCTAATGTGACGCACTGTTCCGTGACCAGTACAGTACCACGAATTCCTTCGTAGGCGAAAGCTGATTCAATGGTCGATGAGACGTTTTGTTGATAAAGACCCATAACGAATTTGTAAGACGGATTACGTTTTGATACGTAAAGTCTGTCATCTCCCCGTATATTACGACGAATCTCCTCGTGAGTCAATTTACTGTAATAAGGCTCCAGTGCCTTAAAAAGTCTCTTTTCGTCTACAAAAGGCAAAAGTGCGACTCCCTGCCAAGCGAATTTTTTACCATTCAGATCGATCTTAAAATCCTCAGGATAGAAGTCAATTATAGGAGAATCCTGGAAGACAAAAGTGTATAAAAATTATAAATATATAATTACTTATAATTCAGTAATAACACATATTAAATGTCAGTAAAAAAAAAACGGAACAACTATTTATAGAATAAATAATCAAGATACTAAATTAATGATTTTATAATCAAAAATCAAGATAATAAATCGAAAATATAAAAACACATACTGGATCTGTCATAAGCTCAGACCATGGTTCGGGAACATGTTTCCTACTGGCAGCCGGAAAAACTCCCATTAGTTGTTCCAGAGGTCTGAACTGAAACAACATTACTAGTTAAACAAACCATTAAAAAAATATAAACAACCTATGCACAAATGCTTACTGGTTGTGTATCGCTTTCAAATTCTGTACTAAGTCCAGCAATATTGACAAAATCAGAGGCAAAGGGGGCATAGTGGTATGGGTAATACCATTTCCATGAAGCACAGCCTTGATAGTAATACTTCAGCACCCAACAAAGACCTCTTATATAGTGAAGGGCAACACTATATCTAAAAACCAATGTTTTATTATAATTTTTGTTTGTAAATTTTACGGTTACTCCCAAGAAGAATTGAGATAGGATAATAACTCAACCGCAAGCGAATGGGGCCAAAAAGTCATCATCACTAGTAAAACATGGACGACGCAACTAAAATAGAAGCTCCTTGCCTGCGCGTCAAGTCAGCCGCGCATGCCTTATCGCACAGCGAACCTCCAAGCACAACGTAGTGCCGCTCTTACGATAAGTCATACAAAGTCTACTCCCATCTCTAGTCTTCTTGATTACTTCATATTTATAAATTTCATGTAAATTTCACCTAAAGTCATGTTGATTGGGTGTTACGTCGAACTTCGATTCATAATACCGATCTTTGAAGCCATCCTCCCATAATCGAACTTCATCGTGAACTTGGTCATCGTCTTCATCATCATCCTCCAAAGGCCTTTTAACACCCCTTCGATCCTGTTTGTCTAAATCTGCAGGTTCGCTAGATGTCCTCAATAATGTTTGCACCCCAGCACTTGTGTGCATGCCTGCCTTTCGAATCTCGAACGCCTCCTGCCTGGCGTTTAAAACTGGAGAAGCTTCATTGATTCTCTAAAAAAGAAATCAACTCACATTGCAAAACAAACACATTATTTATCAATAAAAATCTTTCTTACTTTTGGTGCAAACTGAGTATCGTTTACCAGTCTCCAATCAGGCCTAAACTGGTTGAATTCCGTACGTCTCTTCTTTGCTTTCTCTCGGGCTTTAAAGGCAAGCTCATTCTGTTGCCTTTTCTTGAATATTTCATCTTCTGCTTTTCCTAACTCATTCATGATAAGCTGCACACGATCCAAATTAACTTCCCCGCTGTCGGTCAACCAACCTCCTGTTTTATATACGGCGTCTTTGTACAGTCTTACAAGACGATCAATAGCACCTTCACGAATCTCGAGACTGGGTAGGTGAGGTAGGAAATCGTTTCCCACAAAGAAACACATAAAAACCCAATCATCGAGAGCTCTTTCAAATTCGTATTTAAAAGGTAAATTAGGCATCGCCAATTCTCGTTCTAAATATTCTCGAAGGACACATAGCCGAACAAAAATGAAGTCCTGTTCAGAACTAAATGTTTGCGTCTCTTGTACATCAGGTGCTGATCCAATGCAGTCCTTTAAATCGTGTCCTAAAAGAAAACAAAAATAAATTGATGTACATACACGGAATTTTACAATTAACAGATTTTGGTAATAAAATGTACAGCTTACCTGTTTGTCCACAGATGTCACATGGCCTTGGTTTGTTTGGTTTGAATTCTTCCCTAATTATAGTAAAATTAGGTTCATGAGTTGCTAGTCCTAACATTATTAAATCAGCATCAGCTCCACATAAGCAATGCTGTGTATTTGGATCATGGTCAGGCTGTGCTAAATAAGACCAAAAAAATGTCAATTAATAATTAGACGTGTAGCAAAAAAATAAAAACAAAGGATACTACATAAAAAATAATGTTTTTAATAAAGCTATTTATTTATCTAATTAAGGAGACTGTGGTAACTAAAAAAACTGAATAACTTGCCTGATATTACCATAAACTGTTTGATAAACAAACATTGGGCATGTGTGTTATCAACAGGAGACACAATCTTAATAATACCCACTTTTAAAAAATTTTGTAGCAATTAGAATTGTCTCTTGTAGTTTATGAATAACATAACATAAACATTATTAGTAATAGACAGTCTAAAATAAGAACAAATTTTACCTCTTTGCCTGCGAATGTAATCCATTATCTTATGTTCTCCTTCTCCAGGTACATTAGCATCTGATAGTATAACTTTAATCCCATTCCAACCAGGATCATTATTCAAACGATCGTGTATATAATAATGAAGACAATCAGATAGTCTGGCCATAAAAGGTGTTCCTGGTGTGATACAGTTAGAATCAAAATGGTCTTCTTTTGGTTTCTCTGCAGGTAACTTCGCCCCTTTCAAAAGTAATTCTGCCCTAACCCTATTGACTTCGTTAATTTTTTCCACCGTCTCCTTGGAAGCTCGGAAACGCCGAGATCTTTGTTGATTCATTTTAGCTCGAGGAGCTACACCGTCAATAGCCATATACAACAATTTTCTAGGCCGTACAATTCTAAAAAGTCTGTCGATACACTCGAAAATAGCAACCATCATTTCGTCTTCGTTTCTAGGTGCAGGCCTATCTTCCGGATGAGTACAAGGATGAATTATACCATTCATGTCCAAATACAAATTATCAAATTCGACTCCATTAGGGTTTGGCTGCGAAGAATCCACCGGTATTTTGGTTCCGTTCACGTCCACCGGCTGAACATTTAATCAAAATTTTTTTTGTGAATATTATGAATGGATTCCAAATTAACTTAACCTCGATTACCTTTTGCTCAACACAATGAACTATTACAGAAGGATATTTTCTGCTCAGCCACCTGAAAAATGCAGGAACTCCCATTTTTGAAAATTAATCTACACTATCAGCTAGAAACACTAAATATTTTGTTTAATATTTATAAAAATGTAATTATACAAGCAAACTAATTTACGCCATTTTACTAGTATACCATAGATTATAGTGTACATAGTATCATAGATAAGAAAAATATATATCTTTAATTAATTATGGGCATGTACTTAGCTAAATGATTTAACTTAATATCTATGGTAGGAGTCGTCAAAAACACAGAAAACCATAGGCCAAAAAGGTGCTAAAATTAAAAGCATAGAATGTGATACATAATAATGTACTGGGTGTTACTTTAAAGGACATGTAAATTTTAATCAATTTACAAACTATTTTTAATGCAAATCTAAAGGCTACAACTAACTTATGAGTCTAGTTTATATAGATCAACCAGGAAGAAAATTTGATATAAGTTTTAAAAATAAGAATGATCCCTCTTAAAATAAATAATCTTTTCTAGAACTAAATAATACATTTAGCAATCATTAAATTGAAATTTTACGTAATGAAAATAAGGGACATAAGCTGTCATTGCTAGAAAGCCGGGAAATCAATAAGTATAAACTTGGCATCTTATTATATTAAATGATGTCTTATATGCAAATAATTCATCATTAGTTAACATAATACATGCCCTTCTATTGGCTTGTTCCCTTCTCCCTATTTCTTATTATTGTTGTTTATGTATTGATACAAAACACAATTTACCTTTTTACCTTAATCAATTAATAAAGTCATCTTTATATCGATAAAATATTATTTTTTTGCACGTTTCCACAAATAATCCAATTGTCAATTTAAAGACCTAGTATAAAAAAAACGAAACAATTTTAAGTCTCACATCCTTGTTCTTGTAGGTATTAGGAAAACCAAAGCATTCTAACTTCTTTACTAATTAAATGAGAAAATACATTCCTAAGAGTTTCACGATTATTAACTGAGAATAGCACAAGTTTCAATTTTATAAACTCTCATTTTAAGGCTTTTGTGGAATGTAGGTAAATACTCCAGCGGCTTCTGGAGATATTGGGACCATCTTGGCATCAATCTTTAACCTAAAAATAAATTTAAAACCATTGCTGGTATTATACTGTACAAATAATAAACAGAAATTAATTCACTTACTCTGGGGTAACGCCTGTCTCGTTATAATTTTTACTGATGTATTGAACGGTAATTTCTTGGGAAATAGTGCGAACTTCCTTAGGGAAATCTACCACCATTTTCCTGTCAGTTGGATTTATTGCTACTAAGTAACCCGGATTGCCAGGTGACACCCTGTACACATATAAATTAAAATGTAAATGCCACAGTAAATTATAAGATCACTAATTAGTCTAAAAATAAGGTTAAAGATCTTTTATTAGAACAATTGAATAATATTAATTTATTCAGTTTAATTTTGCACTATCGTTATAAAAAGTACATTTAGGTTGTGCTAAATTCTTAGTTGCAATATTATAAAACTCTCTATAGAGTTATCATAAGATCCTTCTACACTCAGTTTAGCAAAAACAAATCATTATTTTATTTTTTCATAATTGATATCCAAAAAAAATTTTTTTTACAAAAAGTTGACTGAATATTATATAAAATTTAATTCCGTTCAAAGCAATTTTTAGTAGAACATCCTACGTCCAAAGTTAGTGAAATCACAGCTATTTGAACGAAACAATTTTTGTCCATATTATTTTTGTGAAAAGCCTTAAAACTCGATGAATCACTTTAATTTTTAAATAAACATCTCATCTATAGAAGTAATTATTTTTTTGAGGTGATTAAAGAATTATTTTTACTTAAAATAAGCAAAAATGTTTTTCTTATACGTGCGCCTGCATTTACAATTTTTACATACAACACCTATTAAAACAAATCAAATTTCTTACCTTTCCCTGAATTGCAAAAAAGAAATCGGATAAAAAATTAAAATAGTGATTTTGTAAAATGTAAAACACAAGATTTTAAGAAAAAAAGATATATTATTTACCTGGTGTAGGCAAACACAGTACCGTTGTTAAGTTGGTATTTCAGAAATGTACCGTACTGAACTGAGGGTGAGCTGCGTATTTTTAAGAGTTCAGGATCCAGAGTTTCATTGTTATGAAGTAGAGGAACACCCGGTAAAAGAGAGATTAAAGTGTACATAACATCTGATGGTAAGGCGTTATTATTTTGCTGTAACAAAGATTAATATTCACTTTAAAGGTAAAAATGGTTACAGAACTCAAATGTATTACTGGTAAATAATGCATCAGGGATATTCTGTACTTTTCGATGCTCTTAGAAAAAAGAGATAATTATCCACCCCCCACCCCCATATCATGCCATTTCTATTTCAAGGTTCCGTTGGAAAACGAGTCATGTGGAAAAACTGCTTTTGGAATACCGGGATTCTATTTTTAGCCTTTCTTTTACGAATTTATCTATTCTAAGTACTACTTTTCATATATGATATTAATTTTAGTTTTGCATCATTTGTTTGACTCTGTTCCGTCTAGTTGTATTGACCTTAGAAGTCTAGTTTATCTTGTTGAAGGATACCCGTCCCTTTTTCACTGGGTAACAGGGGAATTGTAACTTTCTTTTATATGGGAGCTATATCACTCTTCGGTAAATGGCGTGACCAAACTATACTTGAATCGGGAAGTCACTTATAAAATCATCAGTCATCCCATTATTACTGTGAACAGCACATGGTAATCGATCGCCCTGTGATTTTTACACTAGATACAACACCTTGAAGAGTCCCAGACTTTATTGCTGTGAGGGCAAAAGACATTGTCGCCCTTACTTCCCGGGATGACGTACATTCTTTTGTATTGTTTTTAGAGGCAACGCCTATAAGTTTTGTGTTTAGCCAATTTTGCATCAATTTACAATCCTTTCTTTGGTGGTGAAATATAAGCCTTTGTAATAATTTGTGGTGATTCTTATTTTCCTCAAAAAGAGAGGATTTTGCCCCAAATAATGGTATCGCAATATAATCACTGGACCACGCCTAGTATTTAAATTTTAGTTTTCAATAAGTTTGCCATTGGTGTTTGATCCAAATAATTGATCCTGAAGTTTGATGTATCTATGTGCTGGCAGTTTTTGTGCCAAGAAATAATATCTTTGTTTCGACCGTTGGTAAAGGCGTAGAGTCGTCAGTTCCTGGTATTAGAACCTTTCTGAGTACCTCTTAAATCCGTTTTATTGACATTTACGTCGAGGTCTCGACAACGAGCCTAGGATTTACGAAGATAGTACTCTTTTTGTTTTGAATTTTGAGCAACATTACAAAGCGCGCAGTTTTGATCCCTGTTTTGGAATCTAAATGTAAAAATCTAATTTAGTATCTAAACCAGGAGGTTTGCTCTCTATGCCTGGTGACTGTTTAAGAAATGTGTTCAGACTAATTACTATTTTCTTCAAATTTTTCCATTTCAGTACTTACGTAGATATTAAAAATCAATATTCAAAATTAACTTTTATTGTTATGTGCTTATGTTATTCGTCTGTGTACTAATCTTAATATTATCAGATTTACTTATGTAAATTTTATCAATTTGTATGTGTTATCTGGAGGCCGAGAGCCTTCAATTTATAGTAGCGGTTTTCTTTTAGCCCTGACATGGAATTCATTCCTTAATAAATCAATAAAAATAAAAAATTGGTCCACTTACCTCCCACAATGGCCAATTGTGTTCCAACAACGTAAACGTCGATTTGAGGTCATTATGTAACAATGAAGATGACAATTTCCTGCTGCTATTAAACAATTTAGAATGCCTAGGCAAGTCAATGATCAAACTACCATTAACTTTGAAAGGTTCCAAAGTGTTCAAATCCTCTGCCAAAATTAAGGGGGCCCCGTTTTCCGTTTTATTTCTGATCACGTCTCGCCACTGTTTAATAATAGGCCCGATTTCATGTAAATTTTCTGTTTTTGTATGAGAATAGAAGCCATACTCTGTATGATAGAAACCTTCAGGCGCTATTATCGCTTCATCTGCGAAATTCAGATCTACAAGCAAATAAGGTGCTCCATGAAGCCTTATACCTCTTGCACCTTTGTCAATAAGACCAACAAGTACATTTGTAAACTCTCTTATGACATTTGGGTTTCTGAAATTCAAGTGAGGTGCAGACTGAGGGGCATAATAAAACTCCTTGCGAACTTCAGAATATACCCAAGAGGAACGATTTTCTTTAGATATCTGCAATTTAAAAGAAAATGTGAATTGTGCGATTAAAAATAAACGATTCTTATTACCCAGTTGTTAGGGGGTTCTGGACTACCAGTTGCGTTAACGCCCTTAGGTTTCTGCCAAATATAATAATCAGTATAAAAGTCATCTTTCCCTTCTGAATCCCTAAACCACTTCGTTGAAGAAAGTGGATTCAGATCTATGATTACGCTAACGTTTAGTTCGTTTGCTGCTTTTACTACTTTCAAATAATCTGTGGATTGATTGAGGAAACTATAAGCATCCAAGAATGAGAACCATGACAAAATTATTCCTTGTACTCCATTATCCTTTAATGCTTGTAACTGCTGTTTGGTCACTTCTTCTTTGACTTCTGTAAGAGGACCCTGTTCCCACCTGTTATTAAAATGAGAAAAATTGTATCTAAAAGTCGTTGAAAGAAAGTTTATAATCGATAGTATTACACCCAATATCAGGCCTTAATAAAAGATCATTTTCAAATTAAAAAATATTCTCCCAAAAACATAATGCCACCTACTTGAGGGGTTTAATGTACTATACTCTTTATTGTAAGTATATTAAATTGTAATGCGGTCGTCAAATATAAAAAATTAATACATATATAAAGTTATATAAACAATTTTCATTACATAAAAAATACTAACCAAATAAATATATAGAAATCACATTTTAGCAGATGTAATCCCTTTAAACTATCAACTATCCTATTTTAAGACTTGAAAAAACTACAAAATATAGAAAAGAACAGTAATAACCCGTAACTGTTAGAGTGCATGTCTTACCAAGTTCTGGGTTCTGGAGGATTACACTTGGGAGCTGCCACTATAATCATGATAGCGCCTACTAGCATGGCAGCCCAAAGGATCCAGAAAGAAATGAACAGGAACCAACGTAGACGAACCCAAAACGGATCGTTGGCATACTTCATCAATTCTTCTTTACTCATGCCTACATACTGTCCCTTTACATCACCTATTAAACGTGATTTTTCGGAATAACACATTGTTTTAACAATTAGAATAAAATGACAAAGACTGAATCTTCTATAATTTACTACAATTTCTAGAGTAACTTAACACATGTGGTGATTTACTGCCATTCCTGAAATTTCTATACAATAGCCGTTAAAAAAATGTTTGTGATAACACGCAACCTTGATACCCCCTGCAGATTTCATAATAAAACATACTTATATGACGAATACAAAACGTTGATTAGACAAATAAGTGTATATGAACAGAAGTTATGAGACTTCATGATTAACCTTTATGTCACTTTTTTCAGATAATTACTGCTTTTGTAGCAAGGCAAAAAGAATTTTTGTTTCTATTTCTGAATTAATTTCAACTGATAACACAAAACGATTAAATGTTCTATTTAATAATAATTGTGTATAAGTACACATAATGTACATAATTATACATATAATACAGTTTTATAGTCTTATCAAAGCAATTAGAAATACTTCCTTCTTTGTTAACGTACATATATATATTCCATTCTTTTGATACAATAAACTTTACTAACAATCCAAATGATAAAGTGAATGTTTATTTGCCACTGTTTCAGCTATATGTAATTCAGATAAAATTTGATTCAAAAACTATATATTTCAATATAAACAAATTAACTAAGTGAATTTTGATTTGATCTTCACATTCATACACATGGGAAGACTTATAGTGCTTGAAAATGTGCTTCCAGTTCTTTAGAAGCACTACACTTCAAGCCCTTTCATGAACAATTAATTGGGGTTGAGAAATGAATTACTTATAGAAATACTTTGCAATTTGTATTCCAATGGATTCCAAAGCTCTTTCAAAAAATTTGGGGCTTTGAACCTATTATTTTTATTTTGAACCTAGTGTTTTCTAAAGTAAATGGTAAATTAATGTCCTTGGATTTAAAAATGTAATTGGAGCATCAAAGGCCAAACTAGTTTAAGTAAGGGCTTTGATCTAAGAGCCCATTTTTTTGCTCAGCTCATTGCTCAAAAATTACATTGTAATTTATATAAACTGAAATTATATTTTGACCATTGGAAATGTAAAATGCAAAACTTTCTTTTAGCTCTCCTGATTCTACTAATTGTTATAGTTATTATTAATTAATTAATTAAAATTATTACCTATGTCCAGTTTAGCATCCCCATTCTGCTTCTCGTTGGCGGTGAACTTGATTTCGTTTGCATTAACGTTACTTTTTTCAGAAGCATTTTTTTCTTCACCAGGAAGCATTTTCTCATCAGCACCATCCAAATTGTTCTTCTCTTTGGTGACGGTCTTTTTAGGTCGCTTTACCGCTTCTTCTGCAGCAGAACAGGTTTAATTTTTTTACTAATCGTAAGAGGTCAATCGATCTGATGCAATTTTCGCTTACATATGCTACATACCTTCCAAGTCAGACTCAGGTATTTGTTTGTAAGTGGCAGCTGGCAGGCCATCCTTTTCAGGCTTCTTGTTTATTTCTAGCATTCCACTATTCATTTCGTTAATATAATCAGTAAATAATCACAAAAGTCGCAAAAGTTTACTAAACACGCTCTGTTTCCTCAACACGCCCAAGGCTGAATGTCATTGAAACAGAATCAATAATATAGTACATAGACACAGAATAACCTACAACAAATGATTACCCACTGATCACTGTTGAATGAAAAAGTTTGACAATTCACAATTATCAATTATCATGGAACAGCATAAGAAAAATTAATATTTAACATATCAGTTAAGTAAAGAACTACATTAAACAAGAAATTAATGTAATAAATTAAATACAAACAAAGTTTAAACAGTATTTCACTTGAAACTACAATACCTTGAGCGAAGTTAACGTTATTCATGACTTTTATATTTAATATAGTAGCTAAAACTAAGCATAAACTAACTTACTAGGATTCACGGGATTAAAAGATACAATTACAAAGTTTGCCGTAATTAATAATCTTTAGCGCCATTTTTTGAATAAAACCTACAGATACAGTACATTTGTAATACACATTCGGTTTTAGCCGAGTGTTACCGATTAGTTCGTTTGCGAATAGAGGGGATGAATTGAAATGAAAGTAGAGGGGGGTAAGAGAATAACGCGATTGACGAATCGAGTGCTGCGAATGGTTCGATCTGCATAGAAAGAATTTTGTTTATTCTTTTCTCTTTTTCTACCGCAAATAACGCTCTTTTTCATCTTTATTTTGTTAAACAATAAGACCGCTCCAAAATTTGAATTGTACCGGTAAAAAATTGCATTTATCCTAATAATAACATTTACTTTACATTAATAAGTTACTTGTTTTAAGCCCTGCTGTGATCATGTCAGTTATTCAAAAGGTAAATAATGTAATTAACATTTTTAAAAGATAACATTTACATAAATTAATATTTATGTGGATCATTAAAGATATAAACCAGATAGCTTTGATACAAACAAGTGTATATATTTCCAATTGACTTGAATTTGTTTTTATTGTTGAATATAACAATTTTTTAGCCATTACTGTATTCATATTGGAGAAGTTCATGCTCTTGGAGAGTTAGAATAGGTAATTTTAGATAATGACTATATGAGAGGAGGCCAAACTAAATATTAATTTTAGCTCTAAATCTAAAAGAAATTCCTTACGACATAAAACCTGTATCGTTAATAAAAGCTGGTGGAGAGCAACATTCAAATGAGTTTAGAGATGTAAACCCTATGGAGCAAGTTCCTGCACTGCACATTGATGGAGTCACACTTGTAGAATCACTTAACATTATGCATTATTTAGAAGAAACACGTCCTCAAAGACCATTACTGCCTCATGACTTTGTCAAACGAGCTAAAGTAGGTATATTGTTTTATTCCTTTCTTTATATTAACATGGACAAATCTTAGGTGAGAGAAGTTTGTGAAATTATTGCATCTGGAATTCAGCCTTTACAAAATCTTGTAGTCCTCATTTACGTTGGTGAAGAAAAAAAGAAAGAATGGGCGCAACATTGGATCAATAGAGGCTTTCGTGCAGTTGAAAAGCTTTTGTCCCAAACAGCTGGAAAGTACTGTGTTGGGGACGAAATCACTCTGGCAGACTGTTGTTTGATACCGCAAGTTTTTAATGCCAGAAGATTTCACGTCGATCTTAGACCATATCCTACAATCCAGAGGATCGATCGAGAACTCGAAAACCATCCAGCTTTTAGGGCTGCTCACCCAAGCAATCAACCTGATTGTCCTCCAGAGGCAACCAAGTAAAACTGCGTTCATTGAATAGTTTTTTTGTCTTTTACCACTATTTTTTGAATAACAAAACCCAAAAGCAAAAATATCGGTCAGGAAAAAAAAGTAATATCTACTATAATTAATGAATGGGTGAATATAGACCATCTAAAAAAAATCTTCAACTTTAATTATTGTTACATCACTAATTTTTTAACCCTGTATATGGAGTATCCCACGATCTGAGTAAAAGTGTTCAATAGAGAGCAAAAAACAGAAATTTTAAAGTTTGCATAAAGTTGTTAATTTGGACATTCTTTCCAAATTTATTTTAAAATCGTAATTTCTTTGTCTTCTTTTAAAACAAATGCTTCATACTCTTATTAGTATTTAATTACAGATGTTGTTTTATTTACAGATTAATTGAAAAATCTATTATAGATTAGATACATAACAGATGAGTTATTAGTATTTAATTGAAAAAGTTATCAGAAATCTGTAAATTTAGATATATGATTCGGTGGGATCTCTAAAAACAACCCCTTAACATCATTTCTTTTATTTCGCCATTTGCTTTTATTTCTTGAGTACCAGCGATTTTAACAAATTTAAGTGTTATGCTTAATATCTTAAACTTTTATCAGTAACATCCTTAAATGTAATATATATATACAATTACACAAAAAAAATGTAGTTGATAATCCAGTTTTAAATTTTATGCAAACTTTTTCGTTCGTTCTCATTTTTATATATTTTACTCTAAAGACGTTGTGGGTGTAGCCATGTACATACCATATATTTGTAAGTTTATCTCGCTTTAGATATGTATATTTTTATTGTGTGCATGTGTAACTTTTATTCTGACGTTTAAATGTCGGTGCTCCATTTATTTTCGTTGACAAATGCGAAATGCTCAAAAACTTTTTTAACATTCTATTACTTTTAGCTAGTTATTTTAGTCAAAAATAGCTGTATTTCTGAAATTTCAGCATCTATCAAATTTGTGTCAGTGTTATAATTATAGTACAAAGATTAATTTTTTATCTTTAAGGCTTCTGCATAGTAATCGTAAGAACGCTTACGTGCTTTCTTTTTGGTATGTACGTAGTATACTTTTCCGTTGCATTTATAAAAAAAATTTATCCTTTGTTACCATAATTTTATAGGCTACTTTCTATGTGTTAAATTTTTATATTCGTCAATAAAATATTCTTATAAATAACATTCGATAAATGTTATTGCATCAATACCTTCTTTCCTGGCTTAATAACCTACTAAAGAGTATTATAAAAGCACAATTTAATATAAAATCAAAAACAATAAACTAAAAGTAGATTTCGTGTATGTATAGAACATATCAAATTTCAATATAGTCAATCCAAAAAAATCAACAGGTAAAACAGAAAATCTTTACCGCAAAAATAAAATATTATTCAGTTTCGATTTATTTCTAAACTGCTTAAAAATTACATAACAACAGTAACAGTTAATATAACTTACAATTCATTTTGACTAGAACAGTACATTAGGGCCTATTCGTGTATTTTTGGACGGACAATTATGAGCTAAATTACGAAGCAAAAAATTAAAATAAAAAAAAATGCCTGATCCTTTCGGTGCTTTTATCTGATATATGTTGTAGATATCACTTTAAAGTTATTGTGAATGCAAAAGAAATATATATGAATAAAATTTTGTCATTAAGTATTAGTAACAGATACTGAACAAAAATTTTTGGTGAATAAAATTAAAAGCAGCTACATTTAGGGATGTGTTTAGGGCTGCTTCCAATTTTACGACTGGAAAAAAATATTCAATGAAATTCAGTATAAGAACAGAGTAGCTAGTTAATCTTGGGTCATCAAAATTAATTAACATTTCCAAACACCGAATCTCTCAAAATGTAATATTGAGATAAACATATATTAAGACGTTAATTATATGTATCTACTCAATATCTTTGATGGCCCTCATTAGCTGTAAAATAAAATTAAAAAAAAGAAATTAGAAAAGGAAATGGGGAAAAATGGTTGAAATAAATGCATATGAGACTTATGCGATGACAAGGAATGCATAAAACGATGTATGGCACTATGAATTTATTAATTTAAAGTGTGTTTGACAATGCAGTGAACTAACTTACTTTGAAACAACGGACTACAAACAGTATGGTAAACTTATGCGACAGCATTTTACATTAGATTAAAAAATTATAATAATAACAATACCCATGTTGAAGGTGCAACACGCCTTACCTTCCTCGATATTGTCTAACGTAAAAAAAAAACTGAAACATATCAGTATTATCATTACATACAAACGATCCATCTTTCTCAAGCTACACGTCCGTCGTCTTAAAAAGTTTACAATGATAGACAAAAAAAATATTTTTCTTTTTTACCTGAATATTTAACACCTTTAAAATCCTTTTTACTCCAATAATGGTAACATTATTTTAAACTATAATAATGATTATTATGACAGACATTATAATATATATACAAAACGCTCTCCATACCGTTACAAAATATCCTCTATCTTTAACAGCCTAAGTGGAGGTAACCAGTGAAATCTATACTAACGTATCGTTGATGCAGACTAGACTTTTTTTAATGGAGTTACACATGTCTTGTAATTAATAACACAATTATTAAAATACCGCCGCTATTGTATTTACGAGTACGATAAATAATTAATTTTGAAAATAAACAATTATATAATGATAGAAAAGGCACATAAAATGCAAGTAGCATATTTATATTGAATTTGAAAAACGTGAGATATTAAAAAAAAGAAAATGCAACTTCACAAAAACTTTTTCGTGTAAGCTGAATTCATTTTACAATTCTCAAGCTTATATAAAAAAATTAATTCTATAGAAAATAAAGTGTAACAGAATTAACAAAACACCTCTACCTTTACCTGCACCTTCCCTCCCAAACAATTATATCACCATGAAATAATTAAATGTTTTTAAAGTAGTGATCAAGCACAACTAACCGCCCAAAACAGAACTTTAAATACAATGTTTAAAATACATAATTAGATCCATTTTCCACTAAAAAAATAAATAACTTGCTGATTATAACGTTTCGACAATCTAATATTTTCTTTTCTTATCGAAACATTGTAAAAAGCAAAAAGAAGAAATTAAATAAATAACGAAAGCTACAAGCAAATAAGGTGCTCCATGAAGCCTTATACCTCTTGCACCTTTGTCAATAAGACCAACAAGTACATTTGTAAACTCTCTTATGACATTTGGGTTTCTGAAATTCAAGTGAGGTGCAGACTGAGGGGCATAATAAAACTCCTTGCGAACTTCAGAATATACCCAAGAGGAACGATTTTCTTTAGATATCTGCAATTTAAAAGAAAATGTGAATTGTGCGATTAAAAATAAACGATNCTACAAGCAAATAAGGTGCTCCATGAAGCCTTATACCTCTTGCACCTTTGTCAATAAGACCAACAAGTACATTTGTAAACTCTCTTATGACATTTGGGTTTCTGAAATTCAAGTGAGGTGCAGACTGAGGGGCATAATAAAACTCCTTGCGAACTTCAGAATATACCCAAGAGGAACGATTTTCTTTAGATATCTGCAATTTAAAAGAAAATGTGAATTGTGCGATTAAAAATAAACGATTCTTATTACCCAGTTGTTAGGGGGTTCTGGACTACCAGTTGCGTTAACGCCCTTAGGTTTCTGCCAAATATAATAATCAGTATAAAAGTCATCTTTCCCTTCTGAATCCCTAAACCACTTCGTTGAAGAAAGTGGATTCAGATCTATGATTACGCTAACGTTTAGTTCGTTTGCTGCTTTTACTACTTTCAAATAATCTGTGGATTGATTGAGGAAACTATAAGCATCCAAGAATGAGAACCATGACAAAATTATTCCTTGTACTCCATTATCCTTTAATGCTTGTAACTGCTGTTTGGTCACTTCTTCTTTGACTTCTGTAAGAGGACCCTGTTCCCACCTGTTATTAAAATGAGAAAAATTGTATCTAAAAGTCGTTGAAAGAAAGTTTATAATCGATAGTATTACACCCAATATCAGGCCTTAATAAAAGATCATTTTCAAATTAAAAAATATTCTCCCAAAAACATAATGCCACCTACTTGAGGGGTTTAATGTACTATACTCTTTATTGTAAGTATATTAAATTGTAATGCGGTCGTCAAATATAAAAAATTAATACATATATAAAGTTATATAAACAATTTTCATTACATAAAAAATACTAACCAAATAAATATATAGAAATCACATTTTAGCAGATGTAATCCCTTTAAACTATCAACTATCCTATTTTAAGACTTGAAAAAACTACAAAATATAGAAAAGAACAGTAATAACCCGTAACTGTTAGAGTGCATGTCTTACCAAGTTCTGGGTTCTGGAGAATTACACTTGGGAGCTGCCACTATAATCATGATAGCGCCTACTAGCATGGCAGCCCAAAGGATCCAGAAAGAAATGAACAGGAACCAACGTAGACGAACCCAAAACGGATCGTTGGCATACTTCATCAATTCTTCTTTACTCATGCCTACATACTGTCCCTTTACATCACCTATTAAACGTGATTTTTCGGAATAACACATTGTTTTAACAATTAGAATAAAATGACAAAGACTGAATCTTCTATAATTTACTACAATTTCTAGAGTAACTTAACACATGTGGTGATTTACTGCCATTCCTGAAATTTCTATACAATAGCCGTTAAAAAAATGTTTGTGATAACACGCAACCTTGATACCCCCTGCAGATTTCATAATAAAACATACTTATATGACGAATACAAAACGTTGATTAGACAAATAAGTGTATATGAACAGAAGTTATGAGACTTCATGATTAACCTTTATGTCACTTTTTTCAGATAATTACTGCTTTTGTAGCAAGGCAAAAAGAATTTTTGTTTCTATTTCTGAATTAATTTCAACTGATAACACAAAACGATTAAATGTTCTATTTAATAATAATTGTGTATAAGTACACATAATGTACATAATTATACATATAATACAGTTTTATAGTCTTATCAAAGCAATTAGAAATACTTCCTTCTTTGTTAACGTACATATATATATTCCATTCTTTTGATACAATAAACTTTACTAACAATCCAAATGATAAAGTGAATGTTTATTTGCCACTGTTTCAGTTTCAGTTCAGATAAAATTTGATTCAAAAACTATATATTTCAATATAAACAAATTAACTAAGTGAATTTTGATTTGATCTTCACATTCATACACATGGGAAGACTTATAGTGCTTGAAAATGTGCTTCCAGTTCTTTAGAAGCACTACACTTCAAGCCCTTTCATGAACAATTAATTGGGGTTGAGAAATGAATTACTTATAGAAATACTTTGCAATTTGTATTCCAATGGATTCCAAAGCTCTTTCAAAAAATTTGGGGCTTTGAACCTATTATTTTTATTTTGAACCTAGTGTTTTCTAAAGTAAATGGTAAATTAATGTCCTTGGATTTAAAAATGTAATTGGAGCATCAAAGGCCAAACTAGTTTAAGTAAGGGCTTTGATCTAAGAGCCCATTTTTTTGCTCAGCTCATTGCTCAAAAATTACATTGTAATTTATATAAACTGAAATTATATTTTGACCATTGGAAATGTAAAATGCAAAACTTTCTTTTAGCTCTCCTGATTCTACTAATTGTTATAGTTATTATTAATTAATTAATTAAAATTATTACCTATGTCCAGTTTAGCATCCCCATTCTGCTTCTCGTTGGCGGTGAACTTGATTTCGTTTGCATTAACGTTACTTTTTTCAGAAGCATTTTTTTCTTCACCAGGAAGCATTTTCTCATCAGCACCATCCAAATTGTTCTTCTCTTTGGTGACGGTCTTTTTAGGTCGCTTTACCGCTTCTTCTGCAGCAGAACAGGTTTAATTTTTTTACTAATCGTAAGAGGTCAATCGATCTGATGCAATTTTCGCTTACATATGCTACATACCTTCCAAGTCAGACTCAGGTATTTGTTTGTAAGTGGCAGCTGGCAGGCCATCCTTTTCAGGCTTCTTGTTTATTTCTAGCATTCCACTATTCATTTCGTTAATATAATCAGTAAATAATCACAAAAGTCGCAAAAGTTTACTAAACACGCTCTGTTTCCTCAACACGCCCAAGGCTGAATGTCATTGAAACAGAATCAATAATATAGTACATAGACACAGAATAACCTACAACAAATGATTACCCACTGATCACTGTTGAATGAAAAAGTTTGACAATTCACAATTATCAATTATCATGGAACCAACGTAAACGTCGATTTGAGGTCATTATGTAACAATGAAGATGACAATTTCCTGCTGCTATTAAACAATTTAGAATGCCTAGGCAAGTCAATGATCAAACTACCATTAACTTTGAAAGGTTCCAAAGTGTTCAAATCCTCTGCCAAAATTAAGGGGGCCCCGTTTTCCGTTTTATTTCTGATCACGTCTCGCCACTGTTTAATAATAGGCCCGATTTCATGTAAATTTTCTGTTTTTGTATGAGAATAGAAGCCATACTCTGTATGATAGAAACCTTCAGGCGCTATTATCGCTTCATCTGCGAAATTCAGATCTACAAGCAAATAAGGTGCTCCATGAAGCCTTATACCTCTTGCACCTTTGTCAATAAGACCAACAAGTACATTTGTAAACTCTCTTATGACATTTGGGTTTCTGAAATTCAAGTGAGGTGCAGACTGAGGGGCATAATAAAACTCCTTGCGAACTTCAGAATATACCCAAGAGGAACGATTTTCTTTAGATATCTGCAATTTAAAAGAAAATGTGAATTGTGCGATTAAAAATAAACGATTCTTATTACCCAGTTGTTAGGGGGTTCAGGACTACCAGTTGCGTTAACGCCCTTAGGTTTCT